GGCCGCATAAGTAGTATCTATTAATAGAGGATTGTATCCTTGATACCACGGGTTGTTTGGTCACACAGTGAAACCGGGTAAAGACTTGTATGGATTTAAGTCAGCAACTCCCCCTCCCTCCACTTTCTTCTTGTGGAAGGTATGCATGTTTGGAATTTCTCTTCATTGAGGAATCTGTTAAAATGATGCAGAAAGAAAGGGTCCTCCTCCAATAAGGCTTGTTAGAGTTTGCTTTGGCTGCCCCCTTTTGGTTGGATTCCAAGAGAAACGAAGCCTCTCTGATGATTCCCTTTTTTCCTCACTCTGCACATGTGCAACACTGATCTGCCTGCTTTAAACACACTAAAGTTGACATCATATTTCCTATCAAATCACAGCTGTCATGTGTGAACCTGTGTGGGATGTGTTTGATGCTTTAGATAACAAAAAAATCGTTTTGTTTTGGAGCAGATTCAGAATGCTTAGATGCAGTACTTATGAATACAGCAAAGCCAGTAAACTCCTGGTGTGGCAGAGCTTGTACGTATTGTGTTGGGAAGCTATACAATGCACAGGAAAAAGCCATATAGCTGAATGCAACTAACTCTACTAACTCAAGTCATATTAAAAATACGCTCACTGCAGAAACTGCCGTTTAATCTCAAGAACTGTCTTATCATGAAAAAATAATTGAATATTATTGAAAATAAATATATTGTATCGGGTCCGCTGAATATGTTTAGTTAATAATACTTTTTATAACAGACCATTTCACCTCTTCTGAACAATTAGATTTGACTGAATATGAGAAAGAATGGCAAGCATTTGAGAAATTGTCAGTAGTGATGATCACATTCCTTCCCCTGTGAAGCTAAACTGGGGCTGGGTCCGTGGTGTTTACTCTGCAGCATTACTGTAGTGCACCGTCACGTTCTTAACCTACACAGATGTTTTTGTAAAACATGAAATATTCATCAAGAGATTAGCCCAGCAGCCAGCTTCACTTTCTTCACAAAGAGAACCACCGAGGCTCCCACAGCGGCTTTTAATTTTAAAGCAAATAAACAAGCTTAGTACTTATTTATTCTTAGCTTTCTGGCGCACATTTATAGTTGCATACCAATATGCATGTGCACACAGTTTACACACACACGCACACTCAATATGTTTACTCCTGTAAAAGTATCTGTTACAGGGATTGCTCAAATAATGACACCAATTAAGTAATATGTGAAGTGTCAAATAGTTTTAACACACATGAAAGTGGTGAAATGTTTGTTGTATTGTAGTTTTGAGTGTGTGCACATTTCCTTCATGCCTGTGCTTTGCACCAGGAGGCGGTTGCTAAGGTAACAAGACTTTGCTGCCTTCACAATTCAAATATGCAAAATATATATAAAAAAAACAAACATTATATTTTGTATCTGTTACACATTCACCCCAAAGAAGGCTGACAATTGACTCAGACCGCCACACACACGCGCGCGCTTATCTAGCAGTGGGAATCATTTGCTTTCCACGCTTTACATGTGGTTTCCAAAAATGCTTCTCTTTAAATAGGCTACAGTGAAAATGCTTTTAAACCTTGAAAATAGACTTCTTTTATTTACCAATTTTCCTCTCCTTTACTGTTAATTTAAGTCGATTATCACAAGTAGATGGTTTACAGAACTGAGTTTATTTTTACTTTGAATAAGCCACTTTTGTCCTTTCTCTGTAAAAGTTTGTGTTTTGAAATGTTCCCCAGAGTAACACGTTGATATATTAATGGTCATTTTGTAAGCTCTGTTCAATCAATCTGACAAACTGTTAGGATTCACAATCCGCCAAAAGCGTGTTCGAAGAAACTGAAAAATGCCGGATGTCATTACTAACATATTGTTTTGGTTTAGTTTCTCAGTGATTCTGAGTAAAACAACGAGCTTCTATTATTCATTCTGCTCAAGCTTAGTTTTAAACACCTCACACAATATTGCCTGCCAGGATTAACAGTAGTTTCTTCTTAGAAGCTGTAGTGATAGTGGGATTTTGTTCCAGCTGCATTTGTCTATTCTTCCATTATAGAAGAATATTCATGACAAATGGAATACTGTGTTTTTGGTTGCAGATTTGGTTTAAAAAGGAGAGGAAATACGTTCATATACATAAATATACTACCAGGAATTTATTTTCAAAAGAAAGATGATACTATGGTCTACTATTGTATAACTTTATGGTCTAAATGTATGAACTTGATGATTTAACAGGATGTAGTTTGTTGTGTTGGTCAATTGTATTAAAAAACCCACCTCTTTGTGTGTTCAATCAACATTTTTATTATATATATATGTATTAAGGTAGGACTTAAGGCAGAACTGTTATAAGACTGTATATGTTTTAAGGCCCAGATACACCGGCCTGACAGTTGAGAAGTCGCCGACGCCGACACAGACTGTTGCGTCGCCGGACTCTCCTGCGTATTTGCCGACTTCGCGTACTGGAACACACCGCAAATCCGAGCCGAGCACGTATGAACTGCGTATGCGTGAGTGGCAATAACTCTCCTTACCAGCAGGCGGCGGTAGTGTGTATTCATCATTCAAAAGAGGGAACAACCGGAAAACAGAGAAGAAGAACAGACTCCGTGATATAAACAAACAACAAATAGCGTTTTTCTTTCCATTTTCACTCTCGTCCTTGAAAACATGAACGAACAGGAGCTCTATAAACCGATGAGGTGAAATAGCCGTCCGTGTGTGTTCCATCTTCCATTTAAAATCATTTGTTTACCTCCCTCACTTCCGTTAACGCTTCTCATGCACTGATCGCTAGCTGAACAGCCAATCAGTGTTATCCCTTTGTCCGACTTCCGGTGGTGTTC